CCGGCGGCTGGGGTCCAGAGGCAAGGGGGCTGCCTGAAGCCCATAGCGCTCGGGCAGCTCGGCTCTTAAACAGAGCCGAAGAGTCAGGGGAGGAGCAGAGCAAGCCCGGGAGGGGAAGTGCCCGGCCGGGGGCACAGGGTCCGGAGGCATAGGGGCTGCCCAAAGCCCAAGCGCTACCGGCTTCACGGTTTGCCAGGCAGCCTTCAGACCCTGCACCCCCGGCTGGGCGCTTCCCCTCCCGGGCTCCAGCTGTGCTGGGGAAGTGCCGGCCGGGGGCGCAGGGTCTGGGGGCTGCCCGGCAAACCGTGAAGCCGGTAGCGCTCGGGCAGCCCTTTTCGTGTGGCTGGGAGTGGGAGGGAGGAGGGGGCGGAGTTAGGGCGGGGTTGGGATGGGGAAGGGGCGGGGCTGGGGTGGGAAATGGGCGGGGCCAGGGCCCGTGGAGGGTCCTCTTTTTTTATTTGTTAAATATGGTAACCCTAATTTTTGGTATGAAGGACTAGAGAGAGAGAGTGGAGTTTTCAGTAAGACTTATAATCACAAAGCATGGAGCTGGTCATACTCATAAATGACATGTATTTTTTTGCAAAAGTTTGACAAAGACTAAAAACAGAGGTACATACACTAAAGCGGTCTAAATTGTCATTATTATTTGTATTGCCCAGAAGTCCTGAGTAAGATCAGGGCCACTTCGTGTTAGACACCATGCAAAGATGGGAAAATATGGTCCCTGCCACACAGGTTACTTTCTAAATGTACTTCTAAAATGGCATACAAATGTGGCATACAGTTCTATCTACCTACATTAAGATATTTATAGCGCACTAATAGTATCTACACAGTAATAAGCAACAGAGGGTCCTGTGGCACCTTTAAGACTAACAATCACTAGATGCTGCCTGCTGGGCTTCTCTCCAGAAGAGAGTCAGCTGCTCCCAGACCCCCATGGCCTTAAAAGGAGCAGGCAGCATCTAGTGATTGTTAGTCTTAAAGGTGCCACAAGACCCTCTGTTGCTTTTTACAGATTCAGACTAACACGGCTACCCCTCTGATACTTTACACAGTATAAACAATTTATGTTATTAACTGAGCCTAATCATCAATCACATGATTTAATTCTTATTTTATTTTGGTTAAAAATTGATTATGAAAAGGGTCCCAACCCTTCCACATCCCTCAAAGTGACAAGTACTCCCACCCCAATCTTTCCAGTTGCCAAAATCCACCTTTAACAGTGCAGTCTGCCCTCCTTTTAAGGCCATGGGGGTCTGGAGCAGCTAACTCTCTTCTGGAGAGAAGCCCAGCAGGCAGCATCTAATGATTGGGTCTGATGAGTCTCAGCCAAGGGATGTAAAAAAGGGCCCCAGCTTTATGAGGTTGCCTGGGACCAGGAGAGGGACTGGGAGTGCACTCTCCAGTGGCTGTAGCAGAAGACTGTGAGAGGGCAGGTTAGCCTTGCAGACACCCCTGTGGAAGGTCACAGATCTCAGTGAAAACAGGACTGGTTTTTTTTTTTTAATTGCTCCACTTAAACTTCTTTGTGTTAAAGAATAAAAAAGAGCCCTGAGAAAAAGGCTACAAACTGAACTGGGTGTGGCTGTTTGTTTATCCCAGGCTGGTGAGCTGGTGCACAGCCACTGTAGGAAGCTCTCTACTTTTACCCCATAGTTATCAATCATATTGGTCCCAATTCTGCACTGCTCATCAGCACCTCTAAGTCAGGACCAGGACTCAAGTCGTGCCGGAATGCTATGGAACTCCATTCCGGCGTTTTTTGTTGGCATTCTGCTACTTCTGGTAGTGTCACTTATAGTACCAGAAGTGTGTTCTGCCACTTCTTTTTTTTATGACTCAGTCACTGGTCAAGACTGTAGCATGTGATAAAGCTATGCATGTGCATAAGTGCTTTGCCTTCTTGAGACCTTAAGCTATCTCCCTTTCCTAAGTGATAATATTAAGATAGATAATTTGGTCTTTATTTAAAAACAAAAACAAAAAAAACAGGTCACCTTAAGCTAGTTTCTACTACATTTAATGTTGGACTATCCATAATAGGAATTTATCAAGTCATACTAATGAAATTGCCATTATACCTGACATGCCAATATAATCCATTATCTCAATAATTTGACATGGATTTTGATGATATTTGTATAAGTAGAGCCCTACCTAATTCATGGTCCATTTGGGTCAATTTCACAGTCATAAGATTTTAAAAATCATAACTTTCATGATTTCAGCTACTTAAATCTGAAATTTTGTGGTGTTGTAATTTTAGGGGTCCTGACCCAAAAAGGAGTGTGGGGGAGGGTCCGCAAAGTTATTGTAGGGGGGGGTTTGCAGTACTGCTACCTTTACTTCTGTGCTGCTGCTCGTGGCAAAAGTAAGGTGGCAATACCACGACCCCCCTAAAATAATCTTGTGACCCCCCCCCCCCTGCAACTCCCATTTGGGTCAGGACCTCCAATTTGAGATACACTGGTCTCCTCTGTGAAATCTGGGTAAAAGCACACAAAAGACCAGATTTCACGAAGGTAGAGCAGATTTCACGGTCCGTGACACGTTTTTTCTATGGCTGTGAATTTGGTAGGGCCCTATGTATAAGTGGAATATTATTGTATAATGTATTAATTTGTATTCCACATCAGAGTACTTTCATGTAAATTATGAAATTATATTAGAAAATGCACTGGAATATTGGTTAGTGTGGCTTGGAATTATAGAGTATGTTAATTTTTCAAAAAACATACACTGATGCCAGCTTCTGAATTCAGGAGCCTCGTCAATCTTAAGAAACTTGCATTTGCCAAAAGCAGAAATTGGAAAATGTAAATAGTCTCTGAATCAAAGTCTAAGTCCAATATATTGTAAGTAATAAAGGAACATACCACAGTACCCTGGAGTTCCACAAACTGTCTTCATAGTCACTTGATCTTCCACAATCTTGGAAAGCCCAAAATCAGCTGTCAAGATTTGTAGAAACATAAAATAAAAGTTTTATTGTCTGCTTGTAACTGTGTAAAGTGAGCATAGATTCAACAGGAGGAAGTACTTCACTTTTCTTTTTGAAAACGCTACATTTAAGGAAAATCACTGTCATTTTAAGGAACAAATTAAAAGAAAAATTACTTCAGAAGAATTGCATGGAAACAAAATTATACAGAAGCAAAATGTATGTTGATGGATTAAATCCTCTTGCTCTAAGCTCACGAAAATATTTTTAAAGTACAACTTGTGCTAGCTGCCCTAAAGACAGTGGAATGTACAGCAGCCAACAACAAAGAGTCAGATGCAGAGTCAGTCATGTACTCAGAACTTCTGAACAGCGCATGGAATACAAAATAAATAAATACAAAAGAGAAGACGTTTAAAAACTGGAGAAGATATATGTTATAAAACAGAACACTATCCGTTTTGTAGAGTGTCTTCATGAAAATACGCCCTTCGTTCTGATGATGTACTTAGTCCAGTGGTTCCTTTGGAAGATAAATTATTTTCCAAATGGATGGTTTTGTATTGTTAGCGAAATGTGCGTCTTTCAGTTCTGAAACACATCACACACCTACTGGCAGGTCAAAAATTCTAACTACCCGATTCTCCTGTAAAACAGGAGGACAGTAATTTTTTTCTGATGTCACTCCAAAAAACACTGTCCCTGGTAGTGCTCTTTCTAGGAGTGACACTGGATACATTGGGCTGAAGCGCTACCATTTTGGACTTTGACTTTTTCAGATCTTATCAACTAAGTCGGGAATGGCATAGGGTTTGAGCCTACAAAGAACGGAACGTTCCAGCTACAATCCAGAAAAGCATTGAAGCAAGTGCGTAACTTTAAGCTTGTGTGTTATCACATTGTTTTAAATAGAACTACTGGTGTGCTCAAAGTTACACCTCAGCTTAAGTGACTTGCTAGATCAGGGCCGGAGCCCTCAGCACCTCAGATCAAGCCTTTGGGTAGTATTTCAAGAGCAGATTTCCAAGGAAAATTCAGGCTTTGCCAGAAGGGGGTGTCAGTGACTCTGCATGTGGCACCCTTCCCTCTGAATAAATACTGAGCAGTCAGGAGCCAGCACGTTGTCATAGGTCCCATCTTTCAAATGAGATTAGAACTGAAGACCTAATCACTTGTGTTTCTATTTCTATGAATGATCTTAGTATCTTGTTCTAATTCCAGTTTGGATGATGACATTCTGCCTTAAAAACTGAAGAATATAGTTTGTTTGTTTGCTTTTGTTTAACATGAATTTAAAAGTGAGTACTCTGAGCTGAGAACAAGAAGATAACAGTTGATGTGTTTTGAAAATGCAGATTTAGTAGTTACCATGGGCTGTACAAGAGCAGTGACAGATTAGCCACTAAGCCAACGGGGCCCATGCTCAGGGGCCCTGGCCAATTGGGGGCCCCTGGAAAAATGGGCATCCCCATTCCCTGACCCCCAGGTGCTCCTGCTGGGGAGCAGGGTCAGGGCGCAGGGACTTGCCCCACTCCTTTTGCCAGCCTGGCGCTCCTGCTGGGGAGTGGGGGAAGCCCCCATGCCCCAATCCCACTCCCTGGCAGGAGCACTGGGCAGGTGCCTGCGCCCCGCTCCCGCTCCCTGGCAGGAGTGCCGTGGGGGATGGGGGAGACTGCAAGTGGAAAGGGTGGGGAGGAGCCCCCACTTGCTCTGGCCCAGGGTCCCACAGAACCCTAATCCGCTTCTGCCTGCCTGGGACTCTGAGAACATATTTGTGTTTCTAGCACATGCGGAAGCCTATGCCACTGCATCTTCACTTTTGGGTTTCCTTATGAAAGAGAGACCATAAGGCTCAGAGATTCTTTTTCTTTTCTTTACAATATGTAAAAGTCAGATCTCTTTCAGTTATCACATCAGCAATGCCACAGCCTACATGGCTCATCAATTACCATTCAGCTGCTTTCTGCTTTATCATAGTACAGCACTGGGCTGCCCTAAACTGGCACACAAACTGTATATTCCCTACATGGAAGTGGTGAATATTCATATTTCAGAGGCTTAGGGTCTGACTTTCAAAGGTGCTGAGCACCCAGAGCTCCTACTGATTCCAGCTGCAGTTGCAAGTGCTCAGCGCTTGCTGGAAATCAGGCCCTCAGTGAATGCCCTCTACGCCCTGGTTTGCGACAAACTGTCAATTCAGGTCAGCTTGTAGCTTGTCTGGTTTCCTCCCATCTTTTTTCATACTGCCATCTATGCCTGGAATAACTTCTCTAATCTGTGCCAAACAACCTGCCTCTCCTCCTTCAAGCTCCTTTTGGCTTGCTTTCATTGCTTACCTCCACCTTTGCGCTCTCATTCATATTTGTCCCAAAATTGTAATATATTGTCTAACAAAAAAGGAACTAACAAGTGGTGTATGTAGCTAGAATCTGATCTCATAATCTTTCCCTACTGTGATCTTCACACTCCCAAATCCCATTCTTCCTGTGTTTGTCATCTCTTGAGGTATTGTGCCTAATTTAGACTGTAAATTCCTCAGGGCAGGGATCTGTCTTTTATTTATTTTTAAAGAACAATGCACAGCTGTGCTGCTGTATAAAGAATGGGTCTATTCATCTGGATATCATTGCTAAAATAGAATACAATGATGGGGAGAAGAGAGGAGATACATGTGAACACACACAAAATAATACCAATACGAGGGAAGGATGGGAAGTATATAGGTAGTGCTGCTCACCTATTTTTAATGGTGCATCTGGTGCTGGTGTTGCATAGAGTAGATTCTCTGGCTTCAAATCACGGTGAACAATCCCATTTGCATGCAGGTACTAGAAGGGAAAAATCGAAGTGTCTAAGTCATAGTATGAAACAGCTTTTTCCTAATCCTCTATAGTTACAGTCTAGTGACTATTATTTCATGACAAGGGATAACCCAATTAACCATATTTCAAAAAATTGTTTACAACACTTGGTAGCATGACACACTTGAATATAGTTTGTCATCTGAACAAGAAACTGAAAATTGAAAGAGAGAGAGCATCAGCTCTCATGATTGAGAAGAAAAACCATCCCTGAGGGGCTTATTGACCATTTAAAACACAATGGTAACATCTCTAGGGATTAATGTTAAGGTAACAGATGCTGAGATATTGAAATCTGAAGCATCAGAAAAGCATTAGGCAGCTTTGTATGTTAAATCATTCTGAGAGGTCAGAACATGGTCACCCAACTTTGATGAGAACAAGCATAGTGGAGAACTTAGCATGTGTGCTGCTCTAAAAATAAAATCTTTACTTTCTACAGAAGACTGAAGGATTATAATATTGTGCAGTCCTGAAGCCTTGGTTTCACATGCCCATGGCTTTCTCAAAAGCTGTCATGGTTTTGGATTGAAAATGTCAAGGCTTCATCTTATCCCATTTTCCTGGGTGGAAAATTTGGGCAAAATCTGTTCAGCTCTTTTTTTGTCTGAGTGTGAAATCATAGATCTCCTGCCACAAGTTAGAAACAAATTTTATTTCTATTGATGCAAAAAAATTAAAATAAAAATCAGGGCCGGCTCCTCGGTTTTGGCCGCCCCAAGCAGCCAAAACAAAAAACCAAAAAGCCACGATCGCGATTGCAATCTGCGGCGGCAATTCGGCGGGAGGTCCTTCACTGCCAGGCGGAGTGAGGGACCGTCCGCTGAATTGCCGCCGAATACCTGGACGTGCCGCCCCTCTCCAGAGCGGCCGCCCCAAGCACCTGCTTGAGAAGCTGGTGCTTGGAGCCGGCCCTGATAAAAATAGAAGTCTCTCTCTTCTTCAGCACAAAGACACTGGGCAGCCAGACTCACATCTTCAGGAAGGAGGCCACTAGCTTCCTCTCTACCGGAGCTACCTGCTCCAAGCAGCTTTGTTCTTTAAGGTTCTGCAGCACATGTAGTTGTCTTCCTTCCCTCCTTATGATCTGGGCCACTGTCATATACAGATTGGGTTCCTGGCGTACAGCCAGTATACCCGGGGCCTTCTGAGCTTATGCCCTGATTGCAAAATCAGTCCCTTACTTGGTAAATACCCTGGGGCTGACTGTCCTCTTGTTTACACCATTTTTTACATTTTTTTTTAGTAGTGAAACTCCAGTAACTTCAACCAGGGCAAGTGAAAGGAGCATCGAAGCCCCAGTATTTTTAGTATGTTGTGCAATGGTTATTTGTACTTATAGGCTTCTTGATAGTTACACTCAGGACTTGTCTACATGTGAGAATTGTACCAATTTAACTGACTTGGTTTTGAAACTGATTTCGTTAAATTGGTGCAGTTCCCTTACGTGGGCACTCATTTCAGTTTAAGGGTGCCTGATAGTGATTTGGCTTCAGTTGATTCCTCACTGATTTAGTTTAATCAGTACAATTTTTTTGTAGAAACAATGCCTTGGTACTGTAGGTCCAAAGTTAATTATCATGAAAGCTGTGCTTTGAATTAAAAGACAGAAACAATTATATACACATTGTAATTACCATGCACAGCAAATACCTTAGATCTACCTTATATATACTAACTATGTCATTTAATGGTCACCAGTTACCACGAAAATAAAAAGAGACCAGGAGGAGGAACATGGTCCAGTGGATAAGTCACAAGCCTGGTATGTTCCAGGCTCTCTCGGACTCACTCTGTGACCTCAGACTCTATGATTCACCTCAGTTTCCCCATCTCTAAAACAGGGATGATATTTGTGTAATAGGGTTTTAGGTCTGTTGATGAAAACGGCTGTGAGTATACAGTACTATACTATAGTTTATAATTACATTTGCACTCTATAATACAAAGAGATATTCAACCATTAACCAAGTAGTCCTGCTTGCACTTTCTTCTAATTTTCAGTAAATGGTTCTAGAATGTAAAAGAAGGTTGCTCGTTGTTTGCAGCTTCATTAATCTGTGTTACCACCATAAACTGTTAAGTAGAAAATTTGTATTTACCTCACAGCATTGTATTTCCATAGCAACATTACTTTGATATATTCAGATTCAGTAAAGTCCTGTAGCATCTGTGTACTAAAGTACGTGATTTACTTGTCAAGTAATGGCAATTAGTCTCTTCAGAGGTGCATTACAATAAACAAGAACAGGATGAGTTACTAATTTAACAGTTGAAAAGGAGTAACACAAAAAGAACAATGTAAGATCATGAAAAGAGCATTATCTCAGTGAAAATGTCTTTTTGAGCATACATATGGATTTATACTGTATTGAAGTTATGCTGATAATCATTCTTACAAACTGCAGTCAGACAAAACTTAATCTACTAGCATTTAAGGTGAACGGGTAGAAGGGAATTTGAAATGAGTTCACGTTTGTGGTTTAAAAAACTCCCAAACCACAAATGTGAGAGTGCAGATCAGGTATTTTGCACCCAGTTAACCCCTTTCATGAGCAAATGTGGGCTGTGTGCAGAAACCAGTGGGTCTGGCACACTTTTGTAGGTTCATTTAAAATTTGATCTTTAGGATACGTCTACACTGCAATTAAAAACCGGGGTGACCCATGCCAACTGACTCAGCTAAGGGGCTGTTTAATTGCCATGCAGACATTCGGGCTTGGGTTGCAGCCCCGACTCTAGGACCCTGCAAGGTGGGAGGGTCCCAGACCTCCCGAGCCCAGAAGTCTATGCTACAATTAAACAGCCCTGCAGTCTGAGCCCCTGTAGGGGGCCAGGGTGGCTGCCCTCCGAACCTGAGGGTAAAGGGCCTTTCCCTCAGCCTGAGTGGGCGGGGCCAGCCCAAGCTTGCTCCACCCCCCGGAAGGGGAGGGGTGGAACAGGAAGTATAAAGGGCGGGGCCCTTAGCTCAGTTGGAGCAGCACCAGGGAGGGAGGCAGACGCAGACTGTGGGCTGCTCCCTTCAGACCCTGCTGCCATGCCAGGGGAGGCCCTGGACCAGTGGAGACCTCACCTGGAGGACGGACTGGGGCTGCCAGGACTGCCTGCTGCCGAGTACCCAGAGGAACTGGAGGAGCCGGAGGGGGAGCTGGAGCTGGAGCTGCCAGCAGCCGAGTACCCAGAGGAGCTGGAGGAGCCTGAGCCTGAGGGGGAGCTGGAGCTGCCAGCAGCGGACTACCCCGACGCACCGGCGGGACCAGAGGGATTCGGACGAGCAATCGGGTAGGAAGTAGCCCAGGGACAGAGCTGCACAGTGGTGAGTCTGTATTGTGGAAGGATGCCGCTGATCCAGTGGCGGGACCCTCGTCCTGCCACTGTCAGGGCCCTGGGCTGGAACGCTGTGGTGTAGGGTGGGCCTGCGTTCCCCTACCCGGCCGAGCCACGGCGGGACCTTTGCCGGCGCTCCCCTGCCTGAGGGGCGCGCTACTGACCTTTGCCGGCGCTCCCCTGCCTGAGGGGCGCGCTACTGACTCTGGCTGGCGGCCGCCCCGCCGCTAATTCCCCGCTGACGGAGGCGTGACCCAGGCTGGCCAGTGACCTCATAGCTCCCCACCGCCCCCTAACGGGTAGGTGGGTCGACGCAGATCACAGCCCCACAAGCCTGAGTTATCTGGCATGGCCAGCCATGGGTGTCTAACTGCAGAGTAGACATAACTTGAGTGTTTCATTTAGAAACTTTTAGAACTGGGCAACCTGGAATCAGCACTGTTTTGGGGAATACTACAGGGCATTATCTAATTAATTTTACTTGGTATAAAAATCTAAATCTAAATTATTTACTGAGTATTTTTGTTTTGTCTACTCATATCCAAACAACTCCCCATTGCAGTGCTTGCAACTCCATGTTGCATCATTGTTACAGTGACCAGATGAACAGACTTTCGGGGGGTGGGAGGGAAGCTGGGACACCTGACATGAGCAGGGAGGTGGGTGTGCAAGAGATGACTTTGCGGTGTTTCAAGGATTCATGCATAGTACGGTGAGAGAGAAGAATGAGCCCTCCCTGCCTCCCCAGCTCTTTTCTCAGTCAAGCAATCTTCCTCTTTCTCGTTACCCAATGGACTTGACTGAATAGGAGGTGATGGCTTGGCTTGATGAGATTTGTGTGAAAAAGAGGTCACTGGAAGGCCTCAGGGAAGAGGTGAAGTAAGATGTCAACATAAGTCAGACCTAGAGGTTCTTCATGGATGTGCTCAGTCAATTTCACCAGTTCAGGTGGCCAGTGACACTTTCAATGGGCCAGGGTTTGCAGGGGGTTACAACACTTGAAAAATGCACCATTTAAAAAACCAAACATCAAGACAGATCCTTTAAATGGGGACATTCCTGCTTATTAGGAACACAGTCACCCAAATAGTGCACAAGAACCAGAAAGAAAAGCAAACAACACCCCCCCCCCAGCCCCGCACACACACACAGAAATTGATTAGAAACAAAAGGGATTATTTTAATTGTCTAAGATAAAAATAATATATATGTGTGATGGGGTACATTACCAACCCCACACTGAAAGGGTTAATGAGAATCTGTGGGCACAATCAGCCAAACCCCACTACACTGGTAGTCAGTATTGAACCTGGAGAGAAGAAATCTGACTCAGTCTCCACACAGAATAAAGATCACACAGAGTTGTTTATTTTTGTAAAGCCGTTGGGCAGGGACTGTCTTCCTATGCCTGTACAATGCCCAGCACACCTAAGCACTACTGAATAAAAATATCATACTGATGATGATAAATAGTCTTTGCCCATTGGATCAACCCTGGGGGAGCAGAATTCTCTCCATTAGCAGGTGAAGAAGCACCAGTGCAACTATTCAGTGGCCACCTCAATTGCCTGTCAGCTGTGGAAACATCAGTTGTGACCCACCTTTCCCGTCCAAATAAATGAATTTTAGCCATGAGTCTA